CGGCATCATTTAGAAACGTGTATTACAATTTAATCACGGTAAAATATGTTCATTTTGTTGTGGTTGTAGCTCCCGAGCCAGCGCGTCTTGTTTGAATGATGCGAGTAAACACAGCTGGCAGCCGCGGTGAACCTCGAGCGACTAGAGCGATGTGATAGGATACTTTTTACCATCCAGTTACACAACTGGAGGAGTACTCTCCTCCTGTAGTTATTGCAGACAGGGTTTCCTCTCACAGCGTCTGTGTTCATAACATGGAGATGTTCTCCCTCTGCTGCTGCTCCTCCAGTATTACAGACAGCCCCCATCTCTTTTCTGATGATGTGCAACCTCTGAATAGTTGCAATTCATATTATTACCACAGAGGGGCTCAAGACCCATGTTGAAATTTGTAGAAAAGTAACATATTTACAACAGCTGCACCCCAAACTAAAGACATTCAGTATATAACAATTTCCTGATCAATGGGGATCAATAAAGCATCTATCTCTCTATCTCTCTATCCATCTCTCTCTCTCTATCTCTCTATCTATCTCTCTCTCTATCTCTCTATCTCTGTTCCCAGAATGTAATTTTAAATTTGATATATAGATATCTGTTTGGACAGTAGAGTTTTTGTCCAAAGGAATACATAAGTAAAGAAACTCACCTCTGTTTTAATGCACTTATTTTAAGTGGCATTGTAAGCTTAACCTTATTGAAAATGTACGTTATGTCATAATGTTTGTTTGATTTGAATCATAAACTGATCCCATAAACCAGGGGTGTCAAACTCAAATACACAGTGGGCCAAAATAAAAAAATGGGTACTAGTCGAGGGCCGGACTGGTTCAATGTTTATTGCAAATATTAAACCTGGAACTAGCAAAGCTTAAATGATTGCCTATAAAAACAACATTAAACATTAAATAATCAGTTGCATTCATTTCTTATGGCTCTATCTGCAGCTTTTCCAGAGTCATTTCTTATGATTACATTTTTCCACAGGTCAACAACAGCTTCAAACTATTTCCCTCAAAGAAAAAACCAAACATACCCTGTTGTTGCAAGAAAAAAAGTGAAGAAGGAAACATCCATTGAAACTCAGTGTGCTGCTGTGTGATGCTAGTTCAAGCCAGATACTTGGCATCTCATCTTGGGTGCAACTTCAAGTTCATCAATGTTTGGGCTCAGGCTCTGAGCTGAGGAAACCCTCAGGATTGAGTGAAGGTGTGCATGCAATATACTGGCGGGCCAGATCTAATAGTAATTACAAATTATCCTGCGGGCCGAAATTAAATCCGCCACGGGCCCCCGGCCCTTGAGTTTGACACATGTGCCATAATCAAATACATTTAAACAAATACATTAAAGCCATGATTCTGGGCTTCATCAGCTCTCGTCTGTTTTCTCCCTTCTGTCAAACACAAGTTTCTGAACTTGAGCAGTGTGTGTGACACGAGGGAATTGATGTATCCACCGTCTATTCATAACACACAGAGCAGGTGTGCCGATACACAGAGGCAAAGTGATTGGCTGGATCTCCAGAGGACTTTGCTTGTGTACATACACACACGCACACACAAACACACACACACACACACACACACACACACACACACACACACACACACACACACACACACACACACACACACACACACAAGGAACTTACACGGCATTAATTTATGTGTGAAACACGTTTAAAGTGTCAGTGCCTATACAATATATTACCATGCACACTCAGACAATAAGGGATTGACAGCTTGCTGCTGGCACACACACACACACACACACACACACACACACACACACACACACACACACACACACACACACAAACACAGAAGGAAAATACCTGCATATGCCCTCTGTAAACAGAGCAGATTTTCTGAGCAACACTCAAATGATTTACAGCACTCAACTTATCATCACTTCTTGTTTTAATGCAAACTCTCCATGGAAACAACTGTTCAGATAACTACCTGTAACCATATTGTATTAAACAGAGAACTACCTAACCTGCCACCATATATTATGTCCCCAGTAGTGCCTAATGTACCCACAGTCGTTTTATTACCTCAGAGGAAAGGGAACAGCGTTTCATGAGAATAGAGAGTGGGAGGAAGATAACTGTGTTTGCATGAGTTTTATTGTGGTTATCTGCAGCTACCTTTAGTGAGACTGAAAGCACTGCTGCAGCCTCAAAAAGGAAGTAGGCGAGGCCTTTTTTGGCAGCGACAGTGCTGCAAAAAATGTTCCAGGAGTTTTGAATTTTTACTTTGTGTGTAATAACGATGAAGCACTGTTGAAAAACAGAGGACAGAACTTATAGAGAGCACCATACCTGATGGTTCAAGTGGAAATCTGTTGGAGGGGACTGATTCCATGGACTGTACTGGATTATTCTTCAAAATTAGACGAATCATTTGTGAATGGTTTTGGCTTATTGTAAAGCTTTTCAATTCAAAGGTTTTTGGTTTTCAATCTGGAGGAACTAAGACCAAGCTATTGTTGCACAAGTAGGGATATCTTGCATCTTGGATACTGGATCAACCAGATTCAACATTGTGACAATGCCTGTGATCGTACTAGAGGCCAGTGACTTCACCAGTCCCCTCTTCTTGGTACGGACATGGGAGGTCTTATCCGGATGCATCACCTTCAGCCTTGTGGCCTCCCTTGAAACTCCTAAGGATCTGTCCGACCTCCACTCCACATTCAGGATCTTCTGCATGTTCATCTGGTGCTTCTTCTTCACCCTGACGCTCCTCATCCACATTCTCAGCATCATCCAGTTTCACAGCCTTATCCCGGTATCCTGGAAGAACCTCACTATGACGACGGCAGTCTTAGGCGCACTCATGGGTCTCAGTGCCTCTGTGGTTTTTGCCTGGATGGTGATGCATCATGGAGGGAGGCTGACGCACACTGTGGCCGCTGCTGTGGCCTCCTGCATCACCTTCCTGGCCTACTCCTCAGAGACTTATGTCCTTCGCACCCAAGCCCATGAACATAGAGGATACATGGGCAGCAACCCTGGCCTGCTGAAGATACTCCAACTCTGGGGAGGCTGTAATATGATACCCCTGGTTATGGAGGTGGTCCACAGCCAGGGTTCTGCATCGGTACTACCTGAAGTACTAAGTTGGCAGCTGTGGGTTTCCACCGCGTTTTATGGAGTCTGTGTTCTCATGTCTCTCGTCACTGTTGTGGTGATATTAGGAGACTTAGCCGGGAGATGTTTTTTACCTTTTGACAAATTCTTGGCTGCTTTCAGTATGATTGGGGTGTTGCTCTACATGGTCGCCACGGTGATTTGTTTTACTAAGATCCTGCAGCTGAAAGAACTCGGAAATAGAGCCCTCCCTGGAGTGACAGAACTGATTATCATGGAAACAGTGGTTGCCAGTATTACACTGTTAGCTTACACAGTGGACCTCGCCTTCTCTATTAAACTGTTGTGTGACAGGAGTCATGCATAAAATAACACAGTGAATGTATTGCAATATTCAGATCACGTCATTGGCAAGTATGTAAAAGTCAAACTAAGTGGATGCTTTTGCTGTGAACTATTGCTGTGTTACCAATGTATATTTCCATATTTAAATTGCTAACTTATAAGTCCTGTATAAGTTGTTTATAAAGCAAACTTAATGACAAAAAAACTAACAAATTAATAATTTAGCACAATTGATCTGACATGTGAACGTAAGAGGCAGCTAGTATCAGGAGGTAGAGCGGGTCAGCCATCGCATGTTGTGTGATGTTGCTCCTGAAGGATGTACATAAGTATTTGTGTGAAAGAGAATTTGACCTTGATATACTGTACCTTTACATCTGGCTATAAAAATGCCAGTGTATTTACCAGCCAGTCATGGGACATTTATGGTATAATAAACATGTGTGAACTGACGGCATCCTTGGACATAATAACCTGGTGTATTTTGTGGCAGCTGAACAGCAGTCACCACTGATAAGACTTACAATATTAAACAGTTGACTGAGGAGTATATATCATCCAAAACTAAAAAGTGACACCAAAATCTTCAGGCTAATAACAGGTAATGCTCATGTTAAAGCTCACAAATCAAGCTAGTGTGAATTTAAAGAGGCTCAATGTGAACAGTTGCAATTTACTAACACTGGGTGGCAACACTCAATAACGGTATACGCCTACTTAAATCACAGGACTGGGTTTGTGTAGAATAAACCAATTGTTTACCTACAGTACAATATATTGCTCTTGTTTTTATATGATAACAATATATATATATTTTTTATTGTGAGGGATTTCAATCAACATTATATGGATTTGCTAATTGACTAAACACGTAGCATAATAAATATAAATATACATTCCCGTGCTACAGTAGTTTCTGTTTAATGTTTATGTAATTGGCCATGCTATTCACTATCATAGAATATAATTTTCAAAAATGTACATAGAAAATGATGGGAAATGAACCGGCTTAATAATATTAACAAGACTACTACTCCTACTAATACTACTAGAACTACTACTACTGTTACAACTAATACATACAAATAAAGTAATGAAATGAAATGATAAAAATCCCACAATAACAACAGTACAGAAAAATATAGATTGACTACATTACAATAATACATAATATTTGTTTAATTACAATACATTGAATGTATGAAATCAAGTAATTTCAATATGTTTGAAGGAATTGCGATCAATTATGAAGCCCTGTAAATGTGCTAACAGTGCCTTACTGTATCATTGTGCTTGTTTCTTTGCATTGATAAGCCACTGGGCAACACTGAAATTAATAATTTATTCATATTTCACTCTGTTTACATTCTGACGTCTGCCTCATCTGCTCAAGGCATTTAAAGAAGCTCTGCCGAGAAATGGATTGGCAACCCAAACCGCCAGCCAGTTATGTTATACCCCGGCTCGGGCTTGACTACTCTGGTCTGATAAACTGCTGCGTTTTTTTCTTTAAGGAAGTGAGTGCAGTTAGTCAGTTGTCAACAGGCTGAGCGAGAAAACGAGCCGTAGATACTACATGGTACGTGGAACTGATAATACAAACGTTACTGTTCGTTACCGTGTGGAGAAAAACCATACGACTCGTCTCCGAAGTTCACATTTCCGAATAAAAATGAAGACCCCCGGACACGGTAAGCTATCTTTCTAATTTAAAAAAAAACATTTAGCGAGTTTAGTGAGATCACTTCGACTAGCAGTGACTTTAAAACTAATTTTTAGGAAGCTAGTTGTTTAGGTCCGACTGTAAAGTGTAATATACGCTAATAAAACATCTCATTCATTTGTCGTTGTTGTGGGCTTGTTGTTTTACATTCCTAACAGACTGCTTTCACTAGTCGTTGTTTTCCCATTAAATCCTAGAGCACGTTAGCATGCGTATTAGCCGATGCTCCTTCCAACAACACACACATGTTACATGCTTGAAATGAGAATGATGGTTTGCCATATTGTCACAATCTATAAATATTGTACATTCATGCCACCTATGGTGTGAAGTATCTAAGTGCATTTAATCAAGAACTGTACGTAAGTACAATTTTGAGGGACTTGTACTTTACTTAAGTATTTCCATTTTATTCTTGTTTGTACTTCTAGTGTACTACAATTCAGAGGTAAATATTGTCATTTCCCTCCACTACATTTATTTTATACCTCTAGATACTTTGCAGATTTGGATGAATGATAATCAACACTTAAATAAGACTGTAGTAACACCTGGTTTCAATTCACATGCTACCAAGCAGTACATTAAGTCATTCAAATTAGTTCCACCTTTACCAGCTTTGATAAATACTTTAATGCATCAATCATTATAATCAAAACATACAATAAATATGATTGTGAAATGGGCCAATCTGCATAATGAGTACTGTCATTTTGGTACTAGAAGTATATTTAGATGCCAATACATTTGTACTTTTTACTTGAGTAACATTTTGAATGCAGGACTTTTACTTGTAACAGAGTATTCCTAGACTTTGGTATTTCTACTTTCACTAAAGTACAATATCTGAGTTTCTTCTTTCACCTCTTCCTGATAAGAACCTACTCACCAAGAAAAGCATAAACCCTCCCTTATATACTGCCAGTTTTTATGAGTGTGTTTTGCACCGACACCTGTACTTATTTTGTCTTTTCTCTTGCTGATGTGTTTCTCAGAAGCCCCCTTAGCATCGTGGACATGTGCAACCTGACTCTGCAGGAGGCAAATGCAAATCCCAGGCTGGATTGAATGGCACTGAGGATACAAGGTAAGCATTTGCCAGTAAATTTGAACTCATTATTGATCTGTTTCCTGAGCTACAAATGACCTCAGCGAGGGCAAAGTCTAGATACAAGGGAGAGGGAGAACAAACATAGCTCAGAAGAATTAAGATCGGAGCAGGAATTCTACTACTTTCAGGGCGATAAAAGGACACTTAAGGGAAATGCAAAATCTATATGAAATTATATTTCTTAACTGAAGTAACACAAAGAGATGGGAGATGTCAACATACTGTGTTTTAGCATGGGAATCACAAGACATCTTGTCTATCGAGATACTTAACTCTTAATTGCTAAGAGCAGGTTTGCCATCTATGTCAATCACCTGTAGTGATCCTGGTGCATAAAACATTTGAATATTTAAAAGGCCTCTCTAGAAGCTTTTAGAAATGCCAAACACATTCAGGGCCTTCAACTATAAGCCCTGAAGTATGCATGGTTAAAGTCAATAGAAGCAAGGTGTTCTACAGGTTTCTTTGCACACCTTAAGGTATATTTAAAATGTTAAGCATCTCGCTATGCAAGATGTCTTTCCTCCAACACTGTAACCGGTTTTCTGTCTCTCCAGTTTTTCGGCTCTCAGTTTGTGGCATGTAGCTGTAGAAAAACATCAGCGCTCGTCTGAGTTCAGTGTCTCCTGTTACAAGTGACGAGGCTAAAACTGCTGTTGTCAGGAATGCTAATATTGCGCTGATTGTTATGGACCTAAAAACAGGCTTTGATATCTTGCAGCCAAGGTTATGTAATGTGGTTTAATTGATCACAAAATGTGCCAAAGGGATCTTCACAAAGAAAGCTCCTGGCCATGGCCCAGCGCTCAACACCAGACAATGCTTTTTTTTGGATTCTAAAATTCTCTTTCTCTCTCCATATATTCATTGTAAATGATCACATGATAACGTTCAGTTCTATGGTGTATTGCAACACTTTAATTGTTCTCACCCTTGCACTCCCACAGTGTTCTCTTTGTCATTTTCTTGGATGTTTTTGGGTTTAGGCTTCATATAGAATTGAATGACTTGAGAATACAGTTGCTGTGTTGTTGTCAATATTTCACACTTAATGGTGAATTGAATTTCAAATGTGCATGCACCAGTTAAATCTTGTATAATATAACAGACTACTGTACACACTGAGAATTTTCTTCAACACAATCCCTTCATTTATTTCGTCTGAGACTAAGGCTGACTTACAAGTCAAACAGCATTGTAGTGTTATTTGTACTGTAAAGTATGGGATTAGCTTTCTAACATTGTATTTCCGAATAAATACCTGATTCTTTGTCTTATGTACCGTAATTTTCGGACTATAAGGCGCACCTGAATATAAGCCGCAGCAGTGGCATACCACTCTCGGTTCCACTTTTACTTTTGCGCGCTACCTGTCTCACTCTTTTCCGGCCTCCAGCCTTTCCTGCTGGAACCCGCCGCTTAAAGGTGGGGGTCCGCGGACCGGCCATAGAGCCCATAGAGTTAAAGGTGGTGGCCGATAGCTGTAAAAATCCATAGATTAGCCGCACCGTTATATAAACCGCAGCTTCGAAAAATGGGGAAAAAGGCGCGGCTTATAGTCCGAAAATTACGGTAATCAAATACTGACATATTAAGATATAGAAGGTATTGTTTGCATATATCATAGGTTTGATTTTTTACTATACATCGAGTATTTGATCCCAGTTTGCCTATTTATATGATTTAAAAATGCCAAAACTTGGCATTATTCAAAGAATACATGTAGTATATTTCATTAAAGGGGAAATATCATTTCCCTTTTTAGGTTAATATTTCAGTTTAGGGTTTGTAATAGAACATGCTTACAGGTTTTATTGTTCAAAGAACACACTATTTTTCTAATTTTGTCTGACTGAATATACCTGTGTTCCTCCTCTGACTGAAACACTTCACATAGTGCTGATCCCTTTTTAAGGGAGAACAACAGAAAGCCCAGCCTGCTCTGATTGGTTTGCGAGAATAATATTGCAGATCTTCTTTTCAAGCTCTTGTTGGAGATACTGGATCCGGAGCGGTGTATTTAAATGAGCCTGCATGACATAGGAAGATTAAGATTTTAAACTATTTAATATCCTATAAATAAGACAATTATGTGTCCTCAAGACCTAGAAGAGCATATATCCCCAAAGATTCAAAACAAGCTAAGTCCATTTATTAGGTTTTATATTCCTTACAATAAACACCCAATAACAGATTGAGTTTATTGTTTATCCCTGGAAAGTACTTTAGCTCTAAGTAGGGCTGACATCATGGAAACAACGTTCTATGTCTACGCTGGTTGCTAGTTGTTTATCATTAGCTACTTTTTAGACAATTCTTAATGAGGAATAATGGCTCATACTTTAGTCAGTGCCTGCCTTTTTTATAATTCTTAAAATCCCCACAATGCTTTGCGCACGGACCAATTTCCAAATCTAAGGCGGAAATCGCGCTCCATTTAAGGCGGGGCCTCGCATATGACGCTCACCTGCACACCTGTTAACCTGTTCCACAATTCTTTGTTTTCCGAGGCTAGGAAGGATTCTTGCCTCGCTTCTGAAGGAAGTGACTCCGAAGACATGTGCTACCAAGCAAGCGTCCTCGACATTGAGAAACACCCTCTGTCTCGAACCAGTGAACTATCGGGCCTTCTAGAATACCCTGGAACCGAGGGAAACTCTGAAAGAATACGCCCATTGGCTACAAATCAATATATGATTGGTTGATCAAACTGTCAATCCAAACGTACGCTCTCATTCAGTGTGAGGGCCAGGGCATTCTATCAAGGATATAGAATACCTTGGTTGAAGGATATTCTACTCAGAGACCCAGAACAAGATCTGATTGGTTGCTTTCTTTTCTAACACAAAACCACTGAAATGCGTAGTGCATGGTCCGAGAAGGACAAACAAATCAACGTACCACTGTAATATTACAGATCAACAACACAGATACCATTCTTATTTATTCATTTAATTTACATTTTATTTATATAATTAATTCGATTTTTTGTTTGTTTTATCCGAGTGTTCCAGGGTGTTCTCTGAATACCTTGAAGGCTGCTACAGACACATCACATGTTGGAGGGATATAGGATTTGTGTTGATTTATACAAAAAAGAGTGCTTATCCTTTATCTGACATCTGTCTCAGATACGACACTGGTACATTGTTACACTTAGCTGTCAAGTTAGACAGGGTGAGAGAGAAAGAAAGTCAAGAGAAAGGGAAAACTAAATCAGGATTCTAACATGTGAAAGACAGATGGAGGTTTTGGGTTTGAGCAGTAGGTGCAGTGACCTTTCCCCACTGTTAATTTCCTCAGAAGGAGTGTGTCATATGAATCTTTCACGCCGAGACGTGGAACATGTGCCGCTTATCATACTCTGCGTAGGAGCCGGCCTACACCCCTGTTGACTGAACAGCTGCTTGTAGCTTTGACTCACATATGGCCTTCCAAGTTCTCACCATGTCTGATCTATTAATATAAACTATTATTTATCTTCTTTTTCTCAGTCAGGGCCAGTGTAATATTTAATTAATAATAATAAAATCAGGTCTGCACCCATGTAGCCCTCTTCAGCACGACAATTGGACTTGTACTTAAAGTTTTTCATACATCTGCTAATATTAATCTCCTCCATTCACACAATCCATTTTGATAGCGTTTTAGCGAGTATTGTCTACTTCATAGAATGCTTCATAATGCTCAAGAATGTACAAAACTGTTCCATTGTGATCTGTTTTTCTTTGTTTATGCCTGATCAAGACCTACAAGATAAGAACCTTTCTGAAAAACTTTGCTCAGTTTGCTTTCTCTCACATGCTAGCATAATTTGGCTTTTGGCTGTTAAACATGTCCGTTGTCAGGCCCTTGACTTGAGGCTTATTTGGATTAAGATAAATACAAACAAAGTCTTCTTCTCTAACAACAGTTCATTTTATTAATAAAAGGTTATTCGCTCCCTGCTTATTCAACATCTTCTCACGCTCCGTCAGGCCCTCATTCAACAGAGCCTGTTTTGCAGGTTTAAAACGCAGACTGCCTTATTTAGTGAAAGACACCCCAATCAGAGTGTTTTCTACTTTTTGCCTACTAGTAATCTAATGGACAGTGCAATATATACAAAGCCCAGACGTACATGTTTTCGATATATGACGTTAATATACCTGGGCGGTCCGCCCAAATAAAGTCTATGTGTAGGAAACCCTTCCATCATAACATTTATGGCAATAAGCATATTTTTCATGTAGAGTGTAACGGGACTTCCGGTTTTGGGCAAACTGCGTGTGCATTACTCTAAATCCTCAATGGTAATGTTTAGATGGATTTTGGAACTCCCCCTCGATTCCATTGGCTCTAACGGTTCAAAAGAGGTGTCAATCGTCAACATCGACCGAGGGGGGCCAGAGATATGGAAAATACACCCAAATGACCCCAGAAGTGTTTTCTTTTGCTAAATCTCTCTAAAAAGGTTAAATGTCACTTGTTTTGCATCAATCTTGATACAGGGTACTTATTATATGTTATAGTTTGGATTCCTAAAGCTTTTAGTCTACCTTACCATCATTTAAGGGTGGTTTTCACTATAAGTAATTTTCTTTCTTTGGACGGACACTATAATTTACATGTTTTTACTATGTTCAATCTGAATTTACTTTAAAAATAAAAACATCTATATTGATTCTGACACTTCTACATCCAACTCACAGATGTAACCTTGCTTTGAGAAAAAGGATTATTAATTTACACCTTTTAGAAGTGTAGATGGTCATTTGTTCTGGGAATNCCGGCCCGGCTAAAATAACTGGATGGCCTACCTGCCTGTCAGCCTTCCATCTCGTGCACAAACTTATCTCGTGCCCTCATTGGTCATGTGCGCGTTCGTGTGTGTTGGAGGAGGGGCTCTGTAAGGAAGTCTGAAGGAAGGGGCAGATTTTTTTCGACTGCGTACTTTCAAATTCTAGCGCACTCGAGCTGGTTTCTCCTTTCTTACC